AGTCCGTGAACAGGCCTCTGGCTCTTAGTAGCCGGTGGCAAGTGGCAGGTTGAGTCCCAAGTGAGGAGCTCAGCAAAGGGATTCAGCTCGGGGATCTCAGGCCAGCGTATGGTGAAATCCTCAGGGCCTGGGCAAGGGCATCTTGGACCAGCTGGGGTCCTGGCAGGAGGGAACCCGTGTGAGAGCAGACGAGGAAAGCTTCCAGCCGACCTGGGCCAGGGAGCTGGAGCGGCCCCGGGAAGAGTAGCTGCAGCACCAGGTGCCCCCAGAGAGCGGTGGGGTCTCCACCTTCCTCTCCCCGGGAAGGCCTTGAAACCCAAAAGAGGTCAGAGGGCTCTTCCCCATCTGTAATGTGGTAGCTGAGCCTGGGCCAGCACCTCCCAGGCTGGAGCGCGGGAGAGTCGTTAGGGACACCTGCCTCCCTCCCCCCCCCTCTGGGCGGGAACCGGCGGTGGCGGCGACAGTGTGCACCTGGCCGGCCGGTGCCTGGGAAGCGGAGGCGCCTGAGGCTTCCAGGCCGCCCTGCGGTAACGGGCCAGAGCCATGCCGGGCTGGGGGGGGTTCCCTCAGGACCCCCGAGGGGGTAAGCGACACGATTATTATAAAGAATCATGGGGGATTAATAAAATAGTCAAAGGGAAATGTGGGGAAGCTGGCACCAGAATAAAGAAATCGGAGCCAGAAGGACATAAACCTGCCAATGTAAAAGACATTATTAATATATAATAAAAAACGTTTCCCAAATAATGGGGACAGGAAGGATTATTCGATTAATAATCCTGGGATAATTGATTAGCTCTTTGGGGGGGGAAATAGATGCACATCTTCTCTCATACACCGAAAGGAATTCCTGATGGAGTTAAATTGAAGGTGAGGGGCTGGAATTAAACTACACGGCACAGGAAGACAGCAGAAGCGAGACTGTGCCCTGGCCGGGGGCTCCGTCGGTGAGAGTGTCGTCCTGACGCCCCAGGACCCCTGGGCAGAGCACACACAAGAATCGACCAGCGGGTGCGCCGATGGGTGAAACAGCGGGCCGATGATTCTCTCCCTTCCTCTCGCTCTCAAATCAATTTTTTTTAAAGTGAGACTATGTGGTTCTCTAGAGGGAGGAGGGCCTCCTAGGCTTAAAAGGCATGAGCTGAATCATACAAAACAAAAAACTGCAGGTTTGGGTCTTTTTTTTTTAAAGTGAGATTAACAGTAGTTAGTGAATTGGAAAATGGCTCCAGCCAAGTGCTGGTCTCTTCAATACGGGAAAGCTCTTACAAAGACAGGGATACCGGAGACAGTGAACAGTGAAGGAGGCAACTAAGTGGGGAAATCATGTGATCAGAGAAGTGCTATACTATTTTTAAATGATTAAATTAAGGATTGTGTGTGTGTTTTCCAAGAAATGCCAACTGCTGCTGGGGATGAAGTGGGCCTTTTGTACGTGGTGGTGGAATGTAAATTAGTATAGCAGGCGTGTATCGGGGAGCTTTAAAACACGGGGGCTTTAGGTGCTCCATTAATCCATCGGGAAATGCAAATTGAAACCTTAGTGAGATACCGCTTCACACCCATTAGGATGGCCACTATCAAATTAAAATTAAAATTGTCAAATGATCCGGCAATTCCACTTCTGGGTAGATACACAAAAGAATGGGAAGCAGGGTCCTGAAGAGATATTTGTGCAGCCGAGTCCACAATGGTATTATTCACAGCAGCTAAAAAGTGGAAGCAACCGTTGAGGAATGTCCTTTGAGAGATGAATGGGTAAGAAGCAAAATGTAGTATACACATACAGTGGAGTATTATTCAGCACTGAACAAGGAAGGAGCCCTGGCTGGGGTGGCTCAGTTGGTTGAGAGCAGTCCCCTCCACTGAGAGGTCACGGGTTCGATTCTCAGTCAGGGCACCTGCCGGGGTTGCTGGTTTGATCCCCAGTATGGGGCATGCAGGAGGCAGCCGCTTGATGTTTCTCTCTCCGTCTCTCTAAAACATATTTTTTTAAAAAGGAAGGAAATTCTGACATGCTACAACATGGATAATGAGCCTTGAGGACATTGTGCTAAGTGAAATAAGCCAGGCACAAAGAGACAAATTCTGTATAATTCCTCCTTCATGAGGTAGTTAAATTTACAGAGACAGAAAGAATGTTGGTTGCCAGGGACTGTGGGGGAGAAGGAATGGAGAGTTAGAGTGTTTAATCAGTAGTTTCAGTTTTGCAAGATGAAAAGGCTTCTGGAGAAGGGTGGTGGTGATGGTTGTGCATTAAAGTGAATGTACTTAATGCCAGTGAACTGTGCACTTTAAAATGGTTAACAAAGCCCGGCCAGACGTGGCTCAGCGGTTGAGCATCGACCTAGGATCCAGGAGATCGGGGTTCGATTCCTGGTGAGGGCACATGCCCTGGTTTGGGGCTCGGTCCCCAGTCGGGGGCATGCAGGAGGCAGCCAAATCAATGACGACTCTCTCATCACTGATGTTTCTATCTCTCTCTTCCTCTCTCTGAAATCAATAAAGATATACTTAAAAAAAAAATTTTTTTTTAAATCCGAAATGGTTAACATGGTGAATTTTATCTTATGTGTACTTTACTACAGCTTAAAATGTTTAAGTTAATCAAAAAATTAAAGACTTTTAAGCCAATAATTTTAAGGAAATCAGTATGAATCTGGAAAACTCTTTATGAACAAAGATATCCGTTGCTCCTGCCCTGGACAGTTTGGCTCAGTGGTTAGAGCGCTGGCCCTCGGACTGAAGGGTCTGGGGTTTGATTCCGGTCAAGGGCACGTACCTCAGTCGCAGGCTCGATCCCCAGGGCAACATGCGGGAGGCAACCAATTGATGTGTCTCTCTCACATTGATGTTTCCCTCTCTCTCTCTCTCCCCTCCACCCCCGTCCACTCTGAAAAGCAATGGAAAAAATATCCTCAGGTCAGGATAAAAAATTAAAAGAAGATATCTGATACCCCAAACTGGAAAACTCAAATGTCTAACGATTTAAAGGAAAGGCTAAATAAACTGTAGTACATCTGTAGTTTTATTTTTAATACTGTTTATTTCCTGATTTTTAAAATAATACAGATTCATTGTAGAAAATTTGAGAAATAAACAATTATAAAAATGAAAATAAAAATCTACCCAAAATCCTAACGTGCAGAGATAACATTGTTAACATTTGATGGGCTTCCTCTTAGGAATAGTTACACATTTCTCATACAAAACTGGGTACAGTATATGGTTTCTACTTAGATTTGTAACCTGTTTAAACTTTCTGTGTATGTAACTACGTATACACACATATAAAGATAGAGAGAACATTTATGACTTCTTACTATGAACTGTCTTCAATGTCAATAGGTTCTTGGAAACTGTGACTTGAAGCAAAATGATGCAGAAGGAAACTAATCTTTACCATAAGCTAATTGATATAAACAAGAGTTATGTTTCTACAGCATATTTCTGGTCACAAGAACATCATGAAACTTCTGAGACCCAAAGCACTTCTAATATTAAAGGTTGAAATAAATGTGAACCATACATACATTTTTCAAAGGTCGATAAAAACAAATAAGATAATTATTTTCCAACCCAGTTAATCCAGGTCAGGGTCACAGGTGGCCGATGCCATCCCAGCAGCCCAGGGCACCAGGGGGACAGAACACCCGCCCTTCCGTCGCTGGGGGAACCACCCGCAGCCACACGCACTCGGACTGGGACAGTGCAGATGCTCAGTTCGCGTCCCCTTTGGGATGTGGGAGGAAACCCGGGTCCCCGGAGAAAACCCAGGCAGACGTGGGGACAACGTGGGAACCCACACAGAGAGGCCCCGCCGGGGATCGGTTTCATTCCCTCGTCAATGTCCCAGGGAAACACCAGCGAAACCCTTACTCGAGGCCTTGCTGTGTAAAGAGGGTGCTGAGCCGCTTCGTGGCTTGTCTTGTTTAAATATCACAGGACCCCTTCGAGGGGGTATTATCCTCATGGTACGTGAGGAAATTGAGAATTAAGAAAGCAAGTAATTCGGTGAAGGTCAGACCATTCCAGAACGGCCCGGGCAGGGCTGGGAGCCAGGTGTTCGGCCTCCACAGCCCACACTCCGAACCGAACCCTAGTCAAAGAGCGTCACTAAACGTTCCTTGAAAACATGATTTGAAAAGCTGCTGTATAATATTCACTAACATAAATACACCAAACGTGAATTCATTTCACCCTCCCTAGCACTGAACAGTGAGGTTCTTTGCGATTGCTCTTGTGTTTTAGGTGTAATACTTCAAAGAACATTTTGTGCATAAGAGTTTCTCTTATAATGACCGACTCTCATTTCATTAGGGTATATACCTAGATGGGAAGTTTTTAGGGTCAAAATGACATCTAGCTAAAATTTAGTGGAGTCATCGAAAATGATGTTTATAAAAAGTTTATTTATTTATTTATTTTAAAAGGGTGGGGTATGTGACAGGGCAGGGAATATATGGGAAATCTTTGAACGTTCTGCTTAATTTTGCTGTGAACTTGAAACTGCTCTGAAAAAGACATTCTATTTAAAAGGGGCAGGTGTAACAACATGGGCATAAGTTTATTGGGCTTTTTGGCTGTAGTAGGGCCAGCCGTCAGGAAACAGTTCAAGCCCTGGCTCTGCTACCCGCCAGCTGTACGGCCTGGGGCAGGTCACTCAACCCCTCTGAGCCTCGGGGGCCCCACCTGTGACGTGGAGCTCCCAGTGGCTGGGCGGGTGGAGTGCAGTGCTGTGTATTAAGCCCTGGTCTGTGGATGGCGGGGCCAGGGACTGTAAGGGGCTCTTCAGATGGGAGGGAGTGCGGGCACCCAGCTCCTGCCGTGGGAGCGGCACCCTGTTCCCTGGCTGCTTGAGAGAGGATCGGGTTTGGGGGCCGGGTGCAGTGGGAGGGGCCCCTCACCAGGGAAACGGCTCCGTGGTGGAGCAGCTGAGGCGCAGCTGGGCCTGTGGCCTGGGAGGCAGTCTTGTGGGTGCCTGCTCCCCCAGCCCACACCTCAGGTCTGCAGCTGTGTCCTGTCTCCTCTCAGGTGGGCCATGGCCTGGACGTGGCTGCTGCTTCTGCTGGCCCTCGGGTGTCCAGCCCTGCCCACAGGTGAGTCCCCTCCCTGCTTCCCTCTCTGTGCCCTGCGCGCCTGCCCCAAACCACTCTTTCCCTCTGGGCCTCCGGTGTGGGTGAGGTGCAGGAGGCAGAACAGGCATCTGGGGCCTCCTGGGGAGGGTCTCACCAGAAGCCCATCTTCCCCTTCCCCATGGTACCCTACCTCCCAGCTACCTTGCTCTGGGGCCCCAATCCTGCTCCCCTGGAGTCCGCAGTGTTGGTAGGGAGCGCAGTCGTCTCTTGGAGGTATCGAGAAACAAGGGCAAGCTGGATGGGTGTCCATGGGGTCGGGGTTGGGTAGCCAGGGCTGTAGTATGTGATATGAGGCGATGGGACATGGGCAACATTGTGAGGTACTCTCCTGTCCAGGTCTCCTGCCCTCAGGGAGCCCTATTCCAACAGGGCTCAGAGTCTCGTGCTCACTCCCAGCTCCCCCTTACCAGTGGGCTCTCTGGAGAAGTCCCAAGGCCTCAGTTACTTCCCAGGTGTATTTACACCCAGTCCCCCAAAGGTCAAGGCTGGAGCCAAAGGACTGGAATTTGAGAATTCCAGCTTCATCTAGAAGCAGGTGCGGTGGGGAAAGTCCTTGACCTTTGAATCAGGACATGTCCTTGAGCTAAGCTGGCCCCAGTGTGTCACAGCTCCGTCCTAAGCAGGTAAACCACACCCCTGTGGAGCAGGGCACGGCCAGAGCAAGAGGCTGAGCTCTGGGAAGGATGCAGCCAGGGTGCGGAGGAGCAACGCTGGGAGGCTCTGTGGAGGTGGAAGATGCTTAACTTCGCTTGGGGAGTGTCTCCGTCTGTACAGGAGGCTCAGGAGGTTGTGGCCCCTGCAGCTCACTCCCAGCATTCTCTACTCCCTTTGTGTGCAATACCTAATTAATATTAGTATTGATAATAATACTAATACTCATCTGCAATAATGTTTTACATCCATCAACTTTATTCTTCACAACAATTTTGTGGGGCTGATGTTATTGACGCCATTATATTGATGGGATAACTGAGACTCGGTATATTAAGTGAATGAGACAAACCAACTCTGTCCGAGGTCACATCCCAGGTTTGGTCACATAGCAAAAGCTCAGTTATCCTTCCAAGTGGTGTGAACTGTGGGATTTGGAACCACAGAGATCTGAGTTCAAATCCTGAGTTCTACTAGGTCAGTTATTTGACCTTCAAAAAATCTTACATGAACATCCCTAACCCCTCCATCCCCAAAAGATACCCTGGCATCCTTCCCTGCACCCTGGGCATTTCTTTGGCCTGGCTGCACTTAACTCACAGTTTTAATTTGTTTGGAGGTTTTAACCTTTGAGATCTCATTTATATGACAAATATCCAACTATTTAAAAAAAAAACAACACAAACCCAAAACATTTTGTTATATATTAAATGAGTCATCTCTACTGAAAAGAATAAGTTTGTGGAAAATTAGGATTATTCTGGAAAATACAGGACAGATGTTTGCAGTGCCCATATGACTTGTTTTTGTTTTTGTTTTTTAATTATGAAGTAAAACAGACATACACTTTAAATAGATTATTTGTATGGCACATGAATTATATATAAACAAAGCTGTTTTAAAAAAACAACAACACTACAGCCCAGCAGTGGTGGCTCAGGTAGTTGAGCGTTGTCCCAGGCACCAAAAGGTTTTGGGTTCAATCCCCAGTCAGGGCACATGCTGGAGGCAACCAATCGATGTTTCTCTCTCACATTGATGTTTCTCTCCCTCTCGGTCTCCATTCCTCTCTCTAACCATTCTTGAATCCTTGGGTGAGGGTTGAAAAAAAAAACACACAAAGAAACCACTACAGACTTACAGAAAACAATCTAAAATAATACAACAAACACGGTGCATATTCCACTCACATTAACAAATGGTTATGTAACCTTGCCATATTTGAATTCGATTTTTCTTAAAGAAACAAAGTTACAGATACATTTGAAGCCCCTTTGGTCTCATTCCAGATCACATTTCCTTCCTTTCCTCCCCAGAGGCAACCACTCTCCTGAGGCTGGCACAACAAGGTATTATATATAAGTGTTTGTTTACATATCTGCTGTCTTGCCCATGAGACTGACTTCTTTGAAAGAAGGGACAATATCTTAATTAATGTTGTATCCTCAGTGCCTTGCATGGAAAGGTTCAGATATGATAA